GTTCCTCCCTGATCTCCTCGACTCCAGCCAGCTTCTCCCGTCCATCCAGCCAGCTCTCCAGATCATTCATCCCTGCTAAGAGATAGAGACTCCCTTTCTGACTGCGTCCGCTCCATTGAATTTATCTGCATCTTAACTACTCACCCGTCTGTGATCATTGACTCCCATTCCAATAAACTCCATTTATACTTACCTGTCTGTGTCCTTCTGGTTCGTGACAGTGACGTGATTCAAATGAGTAGCAATGTTTTTTTTTCTACTTTTGGTGCATAAAAATTAGCATTTATCAATGAATTTATCATTATTTATCAGATTTGTAATTGTTTAATCAAGGAAAATTATATTGTAATAATTATCATTATCGTTTTATCACCCAGCCCTAAGAGAAATATTGTTCCAGACTAAATTGGCAGCTCTCTAAGACTGCCAATATCTCTCTTTAGATATACAGTTACTAGGCTTTGGTTTCTTGGAGTTCCTTGGAAAAAATCTGTCTTCCATTGAGGCTTTGGGCCAAGTATTCCTATTCCTCCTGCCCCATCACATTAGGAATTCCTCTGAAATGATTTGCTTAAAAGCTTTTACGACTTTTGGCACATTTGTATGCGCATAAGTGTGTACACATTTGTGTATGGTCAAATCCCTTCTAAAGGGACCAGGAACAAGTTAGATATTATTTATCCACATGGCTCTTAACAGTAAATTTGGGGATTTACAAGAGCCTTTATACCATTCTGACATAGAAAGCAACACCTGTGATGACCACATGTTCAAGCTGTGGGGAGGCAGTGTGGGCCTTCAAGCCTTCAGATTAATAACTAAATCTCCATCCTGTTCAGTCCTGAGGGCCTGGGACTCTAACTCACAGTTTCTCCCTATATGGGGCTCATTTATGAAGTGTCTGCAAGAGTGGCTGATGACGGATAATTTTATTCTGTTATCTTGTAGTGCTGTTTTTTTTTTTTTTCTGGAGGATCTGATTAAATTGTTATTGTCATTTAATGCAACTTATTTGAAGTGTTTCAGAGCATTGGCCTGGCTATTGGTGCACACTTTGAGCCTGATGCTTGTGTGGGTGAAAAGTTTCGAATTTGGCTTGCAAAATGTTCGAATCTATGTTCTCCCTCATTTCCTGTCCTCGTATATTTTGATGGTTGCCTTGGATGCCGCCAAATGTAAAGTTAGTATGTAAAGTCTAAGGTAATCTAAAATGTGGTTCTTTGTTTTTCCTCACAATGGAAAACTTAGAATTCTTAACTAAACCAGGTGAAGTGAGCCAGGTCAATAAGATATTTGAAAGGAGTTAAATATATTTGAGTTGATGAACAGCTTCATATTGCACCTCAGTCAATTCAACCCTATATTTAAAAACTCTGTGGTCTCATGCAATTTATCGACATACAGGCGATGGTCCCTCTAATTAAAATTCCATCCACATTATGTCAGCTAATTCGAATAAACCATTTTGGTCTATTTTTCTGTTTTATATGTCCAGCCATTTCAGACTATTCCTTGGAAAGATATGTGTTCTGCGGCAGCTAGATAGGTAAAAAAATATATAACAACAAAGTCACGACATTATGCAGATGCAACGCGCTGTATCAGCCCAGCACAACTCGGCATACAGCAACCTTTGTGCCGCCTGAAGTTGGAATGTCTTAATTCTGTTCTTAATGTCCATCAGGCCTTGTCCTCCCTCTTGAATAGGTAGAAAAAGTACAGCAGATTTTTTCCAATGCTGCCCATCCCAGAAAAATCAATTAGCTTTCTTTGGAGCTCATCAACGACACTTTCCGGGGGATC